CTTGTAGGTCTGGGGCTTAACAATCATTCTTGCCGTCTCTTGGGCAAGGGCAAACGACACAGTTTCGGCAAATGACGCTTTTGGTGACGCATATGTTGCACATTTAATCTCAGGGTCACGTATGCCATTCACAAAGGTTTCGATTTTCATACGGTCCACCAATGGGTGATTCTCTCCTGGATACGCCATTAGCACCAAACGTTCCACCTCAGCTGCAAAGTCTTGCAACGTCTCGTTTGCCCTCTGCACTCTTCCCCTTAATTCCATAAGGTAGATGTTTTGTTTATGTTCGCCACCGTACTTACGTTCCAGTGCAGCAATAACATCTTCATAGTTGTACCTAGAAGCGAAAGGAATACTCTGTATAACATCAGCAGCACTGCCCTTCAATGCCAGAAGTAGTGCAACCGCTTTGTCGCTGTCGTTCCACGAATTTCTAGAAGCCACTGTCTCGAACTGTAACTTGAAAACATTGAATGACGTAGAGCCGTCGAATACAGGAGGTTTGATTTTTAGTGTGTTATCGGGAACTCGCACCGGACCACCTTTAATTTCCAGTTCCGACATTTTCTTCTCCAGATTCGTAACCCTGTGGTCGTGGACCAGAAATTTCTCATCCACAGACAGAATCTTCTCGTCAACCGACTGAACTTTCTTATCCAACTCTTTAATTTGGACCTCCACGGTTTCCACTCTCCTTCCAATAACTTCTGTAATGTTCTCGAGTTTATCGTTCATTCTACAATTCTCTGACTTGAGTTCATCTAACTTCCTGGAATTCTGTTCGAACATTCGTCTCGTGTTTTCTACTAACATTCTGGAATTTTCCGCAAACATTTTAGCCAGCATTTCTCTGAAATCGTCACCCCTGGTAGCTACTGACGAGTCTTCTCCACCGTTGGATTCGCCCATTTCCGATAAATCCACTTCATCCTTACTGTCAAACTCGTATGTATCGATGTTCATACCACGGCGCTCGAACTCATCCAACAGACGTTTTTGTAGTTCAGCCTTGTTGCCAGTAGAGGACAATTCCAATTTATTGAGCTCCTTCTTCAAGTCTTCCACTCGTAGATCCTTAAACTTCATCGTAGTATTATCGTAATCTCACTTCCGACACCAATTGTTACGATTTTGGATTTTAGTTAATCCCGTGTAGTCGTTGTTTTATTTCCCGATACAATTCGTACCAAATAAAAACGCGGGTTCTTTCTGATTACGATTATTACAATGACTTTATTCACACAACTTTACTTTGCACTTTACTTTACACGACGGTTTCAATTCGCGATCTGATTCACAACTGACTCACTGCCTTTCCATTCCCTCTATTTATATGAGCCCTGCCTGTCGCTACAGAAGTTTCTAGACGATCTGGTAACACCTAGATCACGAACAATCTACCAATGCAACAAACACATTGAGTAACAATAACAACAACAAACTTACTGAGTGAACAATAACAACAACAAACTTGAGTAAACAAACTTACAATAACAACAACACATATACAGGCGAGGGAATAACAAAGAAAGAGGAATAACAACAACACATATACAGGCGAGGGAATAACAAAGAAAGAGGAATGACGTTTAACAAGAATTGTACGACAATAACAAAATAGAAAATGAAAGAGGAAATGAAAGGATGTAGAAAAATCTATACAGTGGTTGTTGTTGTGAAGTTATTCAAATAAACTGCGTAGTAGAAATTTACGTTACAATTCAAATTCTTAAATTAACGGAATTCATCTAAATTAACTTAAATCTAAAGTTATATTCGTAACAATACGAATTAGAATTGAAATTCGTGATGGATTTTTTTTTGAATTACATATGCAATGTTTAAAATTACAAATGAAATGTTGTGAATTACCAATTACATTCTCGATTTACAAATGAAATGTTATCAATTGCAAATTGAGTTTTCGAATTTTGAATCACATTTGAAAAAGGTGTAGTCCTCATCAGTATATAAAAACATATGTCTGGATTGTGGCGTGAATCGTGCGTACTAATGGCGCCCACTCAATTTTAACTATTCCCTCAAATTTTATCATTACTTTAGGATATCTTGCATCAATAGAGTTGATTCGACAAGATTAAAGGCAAGCCATAACCTTTCAGAAGAAAATACAATTTTTGGATTATTCGAGTCCATAAATATGATCAGATAATTTTCAACAAAACTTTAGGTATTCCCTAAGACATAACCCACATGCAAAATTTTCTTGATGACTGGTCCATAACTGCAGTCTGTAATTTGATTATAAATGGACGGACGGGCCCACAGAACTACACACAATCAGCTATATGGATCTAGAACGAATATTTTGAGCCGTTGCAAACTAATAATAGTTATTTCGGGTTCAATCTCTGGATCTAAATTATTTTATGCACAGACCTTTACTGTACATTTTATGCAAGAGCCCGGAATTACAGCTTTACCAGTAGTGGATCGATATATCCCTATTAGATATATATTAACGATGGTATGTCCGGTGACGTTTTGACAGACCATTTTCTATAAATTGGTTTGAGTTACTCGCATTAAGTGGCATTCACGATATGATAATGCGAACATCACAGTCTCTATTTTAATATCAATAATCTGTGAAAACAACTGCTGTTGTGGAATAATCCGGTGAAAATTTTCAAGTTCCACAAAACAAGATAAAGCACTTCATGGTCATGAAAAATTACTTCCCGACACTCAGCAGTCTTCCTAATCCGTTGGAAAACATTATACTCATACAACTACAAAATATCTAAAATAAAAATCTTTAGTTTAGCTGTACTCGTCGTAATGTATTTTCCATTTTCAATATCAGAACTTTGTACGTGTGTGTATATCGCTGTATGTTATTGTGCAATAAATTATATAGAGTGAATGATGAGACGACAATTTATAATTTCTTATCATATTTTCAGTCAATTTGAAATGCATTGTTGGAAAAAAGCAAAAAACAAAACATTCGTATAAACGTATTGATTAATTATGACAGGACACACGAATTATGATCGATCATATACCTGCGTAAACACAAATAAACATTTTATAAGTGGCCAATTTAAGAGATTGGAATTTACGAAATAGTCGTTTAGAGATTAATTTAGATAATAGTTGGGTATGTTTTAAGAAGACGAGCAGTTTTTTTTTTTCAATTGTTTTTGTGTTTACATTTATCACAAATGGAACTAAAACCTTGAGAAAATTATTTGCTTTCATGTTTGTTCGAATAAAAAATAAATTTACGGATATACACAAAACTAATGACCGGACGGAGCCGATCATATGATACGTACATATACACAAATACCATGAAAAATCTAACTTTCTGCGTTTCTATATTCTGATCCTGGGCAGTATTTCGCGATATTTGTACCCTCTTCACCGATTACAGGTTCGGGCCATAATTGTGGACGCTAGAGCGACCAGAAAAACAGACAAAAATAAGGCTTTGCGGATCCTTACCAAAAACAATACCAGAACCCATCCTTCATGCAAAATGTCTTGACGATTAGTCCATAAATGTGGACAAACAAATTATTATTATTAACAAATTATTATGGACAGACGGACCGACACACATGTCTAGATCGACTCAGTTAGACAATATATGACGATCTGTGGGTCTAGGACAAAAAATTAGGTATTTAGGCAGTTTGCCTGTTGAAATCACGATAAAGATATTTAATATTTAAGCTGGAGTGTTGCAATTTTGCACATTAAACCATTTCTTTTGACTGTAACCCCATAAAACGGCATCCTACTAATATTCGGTATTTTGGATTATTTGGACACGTTTTGCAACCGAATTGACAGTAATTGGGTATTTTGGCATTCAATTGTTTAGCAAATATTCATTGTAGGCAAATTAAAAATGTCCCTATTTTAAATAGCTTATTTTCCCACAAAAGTAGTTGTAATTAGTCATTATAGGTCTATATAGGTCAAATTTTGATATCTCGCTCCAGCCTCATTGTCGGTATTTTCAAAGCCTTTAACAGCCATTTAAGCGTTCTGGAGTCATGGAGAGTTCATCTCTAAAGGTTCCACCTATTTATTTTTTTTTGATTTTTTTATGCCAAACGAAGTGGATGTAATTTGGCATTGCGTGTTCTTAAAAGTTGAAAACTATCAATAAAGATTTTCGAAAATGGTCCATCTTTTGACGTAGACCCCCATTTTTTAGTTAAGTCTGTCCTATTTATTATTAGGATTACAGATTTTCCTTATTCTACAAATTTAAATTTCCTGTATTCCAGGTTGGATTTAAAGGGAAATCCCCAACTTATAAAAACTTCTCTTAACTTTTCAGATGTTATCTCGTTTGTTCTAGAATAATCGCAATAAATATGCATATCAACGCTTCCCATAGTATTCATTTGTTAAACTGAATAATTATTAGTATTGTTGTAAGTGTAATAAAGTGTGGTATTTTTTACAAACAAACAATAAAATTGTCTAGTATTATAAACGCTAATGTTTTGGAAAGCAATTAAATGTTATTTGATATTTAAAAATAAGATTAGCATGGGTGGTAAAAAATAAAATAATGGATGTTATTTTTCTATTATAATTGTCAACCACTTTTGGGCATTTGTTTTTTTCCGGATATAATAAATATTATATTTAGTTTTTACTTTCTGTTAAGTTTATATGCACCTCAAATTGTAAATTATATTATAATTAGTTTTTAGCCTATATAACAAATCTGTAATGTTTTTAAAATTGGTTTCCACTTCAAATATTAATCTAATAACATGGCGCCAGGGCGCCTAATGAAGACAACTTCAGTTTTCATTATTCGCCAACACTTTTTGTGATAAATAAGAAATCGTACGTTTAGATTGTGTTTCGTCTAACCGGAAATCGTTGTCATAATGCTGTTGCATATAACTTTGACAGATTAAAGATTAATTCTTAATTTTACAGTACACTTTTTAATATTCCATAATTTTAAAAATTTCTCTTAACTATTTTGAAAAATGACTTACCAAAACATTAATGAGGATATGGGATTCGCCGTTTCCCGGGGATTCTCCGGCAGTTCGTCGGCTTTAAAGGACTGCATGATGGCAGTGTTTTGTTGTAAAGGTTACCGATCTCTCTTATATCCAATATTTGTTAATCACAAAGCCGTCGAAAAAGAAATACAAAATAACTGAAAAAAATATCAAATTAATTTTATATAAAATATGAATTTGTTATCAGATAGGATAAGGTAGATGGCGTTATTAGGCGTTTTAAGAATATCGGAGCCGATGGTAGCAAATATTGAGGTCAATTGATAGATTTTGAAATCACTGATTTAGGGGCGCTAAATTAATAACTTCTAAAAATAATTGAAATATGTAGCTGAAATTCTGCGGAAAATCTATAAAACCTTTGGGAAGTAGTGGGCAGAATATGGACTAAATTGGATGGTCAGTTCTGCTAATGCTCCGATATAACGGTAGCCCCCTGATTTTCGGTATTTTTCGGTATTGTAGTTTGCGGAGGTCATTGGAATTACACACAGGTTTTATTATTCGCTTTATATAAGGTATGTTTTTATCAAAGGGGTTTAAGATTTAATGTTGATCAAATCGGTTATTCAAATTAATAAAATTTACAAGCTTTATAAGCTTGGCCTTTCTGGGAGTGGACTTGATCTAGGCTTTGTAATGATAATTGATTGAGCAAAGTCTTCGGTCCACTTCATCAAATTAAGTCTTCGGTCCACTTCATCCCAATATTTTTATCTCATCATCAGCGAAAATTATAGGTGTTGCTCTTGACCATACCTGGAACCTCGTGGAACATTTCAAAGCGATCAGCGCTATATTTCCGCCCTCTAGTGTGGTAATGGATTACTAAATAATATCTCAGTACGTAAGCACCTGTAAATATTTAAGTGTATCTCCCACATCCGAGTACATACGGCAATATAATTGATATCAAATTAAAGTTCAGCCACTCCTCTTGGATATGCTTTCAACTTCCCGGGTCTACGTCCTTCAGGAATAAATATATTCGCTATAGAATACAAAATTTGTCAATTTTCACACAAAAGTATTGACCGATCTTTATAAAAACAGTTATGTTTATTCTTTGGCACGATCCCCTTCTCCTCTGGAGCGACCAGAAAATCAGACAGAAATAAAGTTTTTGGTCCATTTCGTCCCCTAAATATTAGCCGATTTTTACCAAAAACAATAAGGGTCTTCATTGGCCAGAACCCATCCTACATGCAAAATTTCAGGTCCATAACTGTGGCCTGTATCATGTTTACAAATTATAATGGACAAACGGACGGACGGACACACAAGTCTAGATCGGCTCAGCTAGTCGAGATATGACGATCGGTATATTTAAAGGTGGGTCTAGGACCATTATTTAGCGGCGTTACAAACTCTTGGGGCTGCACAAAGCTATAATACCCTGACAACATAGTTGTGTTGGGTACAATTAATTTTTTGCACAATTTTGACCATTTTGTGGGGAAGGTACAAGAAGGATTGGACCAATATTCGCCATCTTCGAACTTCAACTAATTTAAGAAGGAATATTAAGATGTCCAGAGTTTGGATTAAATCGGCTACACCCTTCGACAGACGAACGGACGGACATTTGTAAATCGACTCCAAATTGTCTGAAACTCCAAATTGTTAGAAACATGTCTGAAACCAATATTTCGATGAGATACATTTTCGCCGTATCAAAGTGTTTAATTAATTGACATAATATTGTTGTTTTGGTTGGCGGGCATGGTTGGAACGTTCGACTCCAAAAAAATCAAACGGCATTCAAAAGACATGTCTGGCTCTGGTGCAAACTGGATTATTAACATCGCACAAAACTTAACAAAATGGCGGACCTATGAAATTTGATTTTTGGAAAATTCTCTATTTTTGGCCATAAACCAAGTCAGAAAATATGGAAAATCTTGACCGATTGTATTTAAATCATACGATAGCTATATGTGCACAGAAAAACAAAATTTGATTAGCAGTTTTTGAAAAATCGTAAAAACACTGTTTCGCGAAAAAGGCGTTTCTTGACGTCTCTTGATGCTATCACAATAAATCGGCTATATCTTCAAGAGTTGTTTATATTTTCACTTCAAATTTTATAGGGACATCCCCCTAAATGCAAAATGTACCGAACATGGAAAAAATGATTTTAAAGTAACTTTTTTTGTAATTAATTATTTGGTTGGGCGCCAATTATATAGTGTAAGTTTCTAAGCAAGTCTGCGGAATCAGCCAATATAGCTGAAGTTGAAGTTATATATTCGGTGTGTCCGACTTTAGACCATGGCCGAATATGTAAACTCCTGGAATTTTTTTAGTTTCTGTATAAAAACAGACGTACAAAAAGAGACGTACGTTGGATTTTTCCGATATTTTGTTTTTCGCACATTTGAAAAAATCTTATTTTTCTCAATAAAAAGGATATTATTATTCAAAATTGTTAAGCGTCAACATTTGATATATACGAGATCTGATAAATAAAAAGCCGTTTTGATTTGTTGTATTTCCTCAATTGTAGTAAAACCCTTTTTCTATTCGGTGTCCACAGTTTTTGGAAAGAGAAAAAGTCACCTGGGACCAAGTGCGGTGGTTAAGACATGACAACGGTTTTCGTTTTGGCCAAAAACTTCCGCAGATGCATAGATGTATGAGCTGGCGTGCAAAATCCATGAATGGTAATCTACAATTCTGTGCGTTTCTGATGAATTGTGGCAGGAATTAAGGATGCCATTCGCCACGCCATGCAGTGGAAGAACATAGTGAGCAGAAACTTTACGAACTTTTATCGGTAATCTTCTCGGCTTTCCTTAAATCGGTTATGCCATAATTGAATTTCTGTTCTGGGTTGAAAGTAACGGCGTATTCGTGTAGGCCACATAATAGGCAAATGTGCCCAATATGTATCGAAGTTAATTATTTTATTTTTATACCCTACACAACTATGTAACGCCGCGAAATATTGGTCCTAGACCCACCTTTAAGTATACCGATCGTCATATCTCGACTAGCTGAGTCGATCTAGACATGTGTGTTCGTCCGTCCGTCCATTATATTTTGTAAACACGATACTGGCTACAGTTATGGACCAATCTTCACGAAATTTTGCATGTAGAACCGCTTCCGGCTAATGAAGACCCCTATTGTTTTTGGAAAAGATCGGTTAATATTTAGGGGATGAAATGGGCACAAATACTTAATTTTTAGCGGGACAAATAGACCCTTACTTTTGTGTGAAAAATTACAAAATTTGTATTCTATATATATTTACTCCGAAGGACATAGACCCGAGATGTTGATAGTACATCCAAGAGGAGTGGTTGACCACAATTATAAGCCGAACATCACAACAGAACCCACGGTGAAGGAGGTATGGACAAGTAATTAGAAGGATTATACTGAATATTCGTAAAATTGGGAAAATAGGTCAGTGTAAATAAGAGGTGCTGTTGACCTCTACTCGGGCAAGAGGGTGCAACTATCACTTAATATTGCCCACACTCGGAATAAAAAACCACAGAAAGTTAGAGCTCTGTGGTAGTTGTGTAGGGTATCGTATGGTCGTATTAATTCTTTTGTCATAAAAGTTCTATAAATTAGAAATATTTTGGGCCAACTTGTAAATTATGTATCCCTGATATTGTGCGGAATCAGTCAGTTTTGCTTATGTAGGATACGAAATAAGTTAGAAATATGTTGGGAGCCACTTTTAAAGTGTGCTACCATCGATTCGAAGCCCCGAACAAATGCATCAGTCCTACTTACTACTTTTTTTACTGAAATTCCGTCCTCGTACCCCAAAAACTAAAAATATTTGTATATGGAAAGTTGTGTCCTGTTTTTATGTCTGTGAGTATATGAAAATATTGTCAGAAGATTTTTAAAAATATCTATTGAATTGTTTGCGAATTTTTGTACATCCCAACATAATATTGTCACCTCATCCATCCCTCCCTCTGTATATCCTACATTACAAATTATTTTTCTGTAATTGGATATTTTGGATTCTCAGTGGGTAAATAATTTGTATATTGGTCTACAAGTTTACCCCCATATTTGAGGAACATACGATTATTAAAAATATTTGCCAAATTTTTCCAACATAATTCCTTGTAATTTGCAACATGTGTCCAATGAACTACGGGAAGCCAATTCACCACAATCTAAAAGTACACAAAATTGAATTCGCGATATGTGGAGAAGACCACTCACAGACCGACCACCCTGTAAAATCTTAGGTTGTCAACAAAAAGGACTGTTTTATTGCTTCGCTACATGACTTTTGGCTATATATTCTTCAAATTTGACAGTGTAATGTATACGGCTGATGGGCATTGGCATTGGTAGGTAAGAGGGGATACTTTTTTCCTCTGGCACAAACAAACAAATGACATTAAATTATTTTGTTCGCCAAAAAAGAAGAAAAAATCATCAGCAGCGGATAACATTTAAATACCCAGTCCATACAAAAGACCAAATTTGTACGACACAGTTTTGGGAAGGGGACACAAAAGTTACACCGAAGTTCATATGCCGCTGGCTGCTGTTGGAGAGGAGCCATTGTTTGTTTAACACTTTATTTTGGAATTTGCTACAAGATGTTTTCTGTGTGTTTTTAAGCTTGTCCGATTTGTTGTTGTGCTCCTTTTGCCATATTCTGACATTGGAGATATTCAATACTCGCACTCGAATAAATTAGTTTCGTTGTTTGTTTTTATGTTTATTTTTTATTATTATTATTGCAATTATTGTTGTTGTTGTTGCTGTGGTTCTAGTCAAGCGACTAATGTTTCGACTCAAATTCACACAAAAATTCCGCAGAATAACCATTACAGCTAAAATAGCATAAGACGGAAGGCGAGGCGGCGCATTGTTGCGCTCGAGCCAGCCAGCCAATCAGCCATCCTTCCCGCCCGCCCGCCTGCCTTCCTGCAGATATTCAATGGATTATTGGTTGATATTCAAGAGGCGCCATTTACACTTGAGTTTGTGTGTTTAAATGCGAATCACAAGCAAATGCAATAACAATTGAAATAAAAATTATCGTTATGAACCGTTTTTAATCGTTTTTCACAAATACCGTAACGGGATTTTACGAACTATGAAATTCTGTGTTTCCACTAGAAATTCTAGAG